GAGAAAACGACACACAAAACCAGGCGAGGTTCTGCCACTTCCGAAAGCGACGCACTTCGTGGAAAGCGAGCAGCAGACGCCTGGGCAGGGATCGACTACATGACAGAAGTGCCCAAGAGAGGCGCGGGAAAAGCACGGGAGGTAAATGTTTGGATATTCGTTTTTTTACACTTATATATAATAAATGAATAAATAAATAAATAAATAAATAAATAAATAAGACAAATCCCCGCAAATCAACGAACTCCATTCACTTGAACCAAAGCTTTCTCAGTCGGCGGCGAGAGCACATGCCTCCAGCACAACACGACGGTAGCAGGCGGAAGGAAAAAGAGATGGAGGCCATCCGGGCCAACCGGAAAAAAAAATGTTCATCATCAACTTCCGGATGGCATCAAATAGTACGCGGCCAGGGGAACCCGGCAGCAGGGCACGCAAAACGCTGTGCAACGCATGGAGGGAAGGACGACAGGGAGGAGAGGGCACGGGAGGAGGGAAAGGGGGGGAAAGGGGGGGGAAAGAGGGAAGGAAGAGGCAGCAGCACAAGACGACGCGACGAGGGAAGGAGGGGGGGGGGAGCGAGAGGGAGGGGCCGAGCCCCAATGGTGGCAACGCGCGCAGCGCGCACCCTGCGAACCACGCAGGGTGGCCGGGGAGGAGGAGACAAAGGAAGGAGGGAAAGGCGAACGAACGAACGAACGAAAACGACGGCGGGACACGACAGCAACGACAAAGGACGAGGGAGGGAGGGGGAAGGGGACGGGAAGGGAGGGGGCAAGGGAGAGAGAGAGACAGAGACAGGCCGAGCCGAACGAACCAAATCACGATGCTCAAGCTGGCGGCCACCAGTTCCGGCTGTGACGCAGTGGTGGTGAGCAAGAGCGCTGCGCGGACTATATAAGGATTGCCATGCAAGTGTGCTGCTGGGGCTGTGGAGACAGCAACACAGCAAAAGTTGAAGCGAAGACTGAAAATTCTTTACACTTCTGGCCCGCACAGTGGAGTTAGGGAGAAGGCTATAAATGCGAACAGAACCAAGGACAGAATTGAGAACATAATCGGGAGCGCGAAGTCCCCACAGATCAACTAGGTGGCGAGAGTGACGGGGGGGAGCACGAGGAAGAGGGGGAGAGAGGTCCGAACGAAAGAACTGGTGAAGAAGAGGCGGGCCCTTGCCGAGAAAAGACCTGTGGACGATCCCCAGCATGGAGATATCTCGTCTGATGCTAAGAGGTGGGGCGGAATTTGTCAGTGCATCTGCTTCGTAAATGTGGACTGCACGCAGAAATCGACGCTGGACCGCATCGAGAGGAGCGAGAGCAGAACACGAGGCGAAATGAAAAGCAGAAAGTCTGTATTCGATATACTTCGCTATCTGTATGGAAACGCCGGTTGCGAAGAATGTTATGAGTGCGCAAATCACGCTCGCGAGCGCAATCGCTAATCACGTCGTGCACGAGCAGCTGCGTGTCGAAATTATTTCCTTACACTTTACAAGAAGAGCCAGCCGGGCGAGATCTAAAAAGGATTTGAAAACTTTGCTGTCCTGCGTCAAACAGCACTCTGTTCGCGGCGCCCCAGCGGTGCAAACTCGCCTGGCATTCGCGGGCCAGAGAAAATGTTTGCTGGTCAAATACGCTCATGTCCAGGAGTTTGAAAGCATTCAAATCGTCAGCGAAAGTAACTTCTTGGAAATCACACGCGCGAACTGCCATGCATGAGTCGCTGCAATAAACATTCCACAAATTTTGACCTAGCACCGTGCCTTGGTAAACCAAATGTTCCATATAAACTGGATCAAACAGAGATCCCTGGACGACAATTCGCGCACTGCGTGGGTTAAGCCAGCTCTTTAAGACAACAACCAGGTCCAGCTGCACAAACAACGCTCGAATTTTATGCACGAGCCGAACTTTGTCCACTCGATCGAACGCTCCCGAGATGCAGTAAATCACTACACGACGACCGCCAGCAAAAGCCACCAGCCACTGCAGGATGAAATGCAAAACAGCGTCTCTCGCTCCACGCCCACGGTCAATAGGCGAATTCATTCGATCCGTACGCACCCAGTCTTTCGAGCCTGGGCACGAACAGCTGCGAAACAAGACGCTCGACAACTTTAGACAATTGCGCTCGCACCAATTTCTACGCCAACAGCCTGCACTTATAAAATACACAAGTTTCGCAACTGCAAGGCTAGCGAATTCACACAATATTCTAAAAACCGCGCTGGAATGAAATCCGGGACAGCACCGGAAACTGCACGCAGGGTCCGGAGAAACGCCCGAGTGGCGCGAGTGCGGTTCTCTCACCAAGTCAGTCCACGCTCAAGGTGCTAAAAATTAATACGCGTACGTTCGCTCCAGGGAACGTGAAAAATGGCCATGCTGAGGAGAAGGAAGGAGGAGAGAGAGGGAAGGAGAGGAGGAGGGAGGAGGAGGGAAGAGAAGCAGCAGCAGCAGCAGCAGACGACGACGAGGACAAATGAGGGCAGGACAAGAAGGGGCGAGGGGGGGCCAGCCCCACAAAAGCGACACGCGAAGCGCGCACCCTGCACTCCACACGAAGGGAGGAGAAGGGGAAGAGGAGGGGGGCGACACGACGGCGGACGGACGGAAACACGACGGCGGGACACGAACAACATGGAAAATTCATGGTGATTTTATTTTTGCGTTGCTGCACCACATCAAATTTCATCTCACAGTGCTACGGGCGATTCGAACAAAGATTCGAATGAGATATTTTGTATGCCTGCGTCCGTAAGACTGACCGTTGCAGACGGGAACGGAAGCGGGGCTCAAATTATGCAAACAACACGCGGAGATGGCGCAAGGCAAGAAAGGATCGAAATTGACGGAAAAAATTAAGTCATTCAAACATGTTTCAAAAACAAATATTCCGATTCGATGCTCGATGATGAGTTCAATCGGGCGAAGCAAGCCCATTTGATGGAGTACTATCAGAACAACCAGAAATTTGCAGGCGCCTTACGCAGCACAATGCAAATTTACGAAAACACAAGCTACAAAGAATCGAAAGCCCAAGTGACGGTAATTGATAATCTGTTTTTGTGAAGAGCGCATATCAACATTTGAATCCGCATCAACTTCGTTTCGAAACATGCAATTATTTCAAGCATTCCCTTCCTCCTCGCAAAGTGTGAATGCAATTCCAGTCGTTATGCTGGTATCTTTAATATATGAAGGAACCTGGAGTTTTATCGGACAATGAACCTAATTCCAAAAATTCATTGCAGAAAAATTGTGGGGACCATTTGCGTTTTTTATTGACCGCGACAAACTGCACTGCGAAGGCGCAATGGGAGATGAAGCAGGTCAGGAAGTTTCCACAAGCATTCTTGGACGTTTGATGCAGAATAAATTTGCAGACCTTACCAATCAAGAAGAATTAAAGGAGGCAGTCAGTCCTCATGAGCGTTATTTAGTGCTTGCCCAACAGACAAAACGCGAACGAAAAATGCAAAAATTGGCAAATCCCTTGGAGTCTGACTAGAGTTATGCACAATTCCGGTCCGTAAGGGATCCTGTGTGCGCACTGTGTGGCGCCGTTTCATATAAGTACACAGTCTGCTTGTACTGCAGAAACGCAGACGAGCAAACCGCGATTGCATTAAAAAACCGTGCGGCAGTTTCGAAATAAACGGCGGCACATGCTATGTTCATTTTTATTCAAAGAACTGAGTTTCGAATTCAAATTGACTTATCATTGGGCGGCTTACCCTTTTCAAAGACTCTGACTGTGTTTTTCACGTAACAATTTGTTGGTTGTTGACAATAGTTTTCACTACTAGTGTTGTCGTAATGGAACGATATTAATTCAATGTGTGGTTTCTGTAATTGTTAATGATTCATTGTCATATCATTGCTCAGAACTTTTGTAGGCATTGTGTTTCTTCAATTGCGATGTCATAAGGTGTTTCTTTGGGTTTCAGAATTTCGGAGGGAATATGTTTCATATTCTTTTGTTCTGAGGTTTTTATTGTTCGTAGTGCATCCATACAGCTGCTGTACACATTTTAACAAAATGTCCAGTGACCGTCACTCCAATTTAAACTCAAATTTAATTTTTTCAGCAGTCCTTTATTTTGAGGTCGTTCATGGGCGCTT